CTCTCCATAGTTGCTGGTGAGATACACTTGATGTCCTAGACGTGTGTGCTCATACTCGTACCATTCCTGAAGTCGAAGTGGTGTTTCGGATACTTGCACGAGGAGGGGTCGAAGTTCGTTTCCCCTTCCCCTCTGTATCAGTAGCACATTGCTGTTTATGTAGCAACGTATTGTCACATTGTTGTTTATGTAGCAACGTATTGTGACAGACAGTTGTAAAAGGAGCGGACGCCCACTGCTGCGTTGTATCGAATGTTACTGAGGGGCCTCTGAGTCAGACAAACTACGGGCGAGTACTTTCGATCCTCATCCTGTCAAATAATATTCACTATGTCTCCTAAATTCGTGTGGAAGGATTTCGACAAATCCAGAGTGCGCTGCCGACACAGGGGGCCCGGACTGGAAACTCGAGCCCACACTCTTGGCCCTGAACAAACCCCCAGTGAATGTGCCATGGGCGGACCTGGACTCCTTCAGTGCAATCAATCATCATTCGCCTCAGTCCCCTCCCACCTGCGTGCCTCCCATCTCTCAGTCGTGCTACTGACCACCCGCCCTACCGCCACCACGCTCCGAAATCCCCACCCCTTGGCAGCTGGATCTTGGGACCCCATATCCTGCAATGACTCCCCCGGGTCAGACCGTGACCCCCTTGTCCCTGCTGCAGCGTCGCTCCACAACCTCACTCCCCTGGGAGTTTGGTTCTGAGGCGCCCTCAGCAATTCCTCGCCCGACCACGACACGGATGACCTGACGTCGGAGGGGAGAGGAACACCAGCAGCCCCTGGAGGAAGAGGCAGGGGAGAACGACGAAGAGGGAGAGAAGAGGTGGTGGAGGAGGAGAGAGAGAGTAGAACGAGAACGGGCAGGAGGGGAGGATGAGGTCGACACCGGCAGCTGCCACATGCGACTGATCATCCGCGGCCCCCAGTCGCAGGCTGGGGCGTGGCTGAGCTCGCGGCGCTCCGCCCTGCTCGGCCTCGAGGGTGAGCGGGGGGAGCTTCTCTGACGCCGCCTCCTCCCCCTCCTCCTCCTCCTCCTCCTCCTCCTCCTCTCCTCCTCCTCCTCCCTCCTCCTCCTCCTCCTCCTCCCCCCCCCCCCCCCCCCCCCCTCCTCCTCCTCCTCCTCCTCCTCCTCCTCCTCCTCCTCCTCCTCCTTCAGTTCCTCCGCATCGGCCTCTGAGGGTGCAGGGCCTACTGCAAACCTCGCGTGCTGACTGGGCAACCCGCACAGGCGTCCTGAAGCGGCCCATGCCTCTGTCCCTAGGCATCGCCTCTGATGTGACGGGGCATGTGCTTCGAGGGTTACCTCGGTTTTTTCCCCATGAGAGCTCCTCCAGGCATGTTTTGTAGGATGGTCGGACGCTGGTCCGCCGCAGCCGAATTCAGCAGAATCCTCTTCCTCTTTCTCCTACATATCCTCCGCATCCGCCGCCCCCTCCTACTCCGCCTCCTCCTCCTTCGCCTCCTCCTCGTCCTCGAGCTCCGTATCCTCCTCATCCTCATCCTCCTCTGCTCGGGCGGCACGGGGAATTGTCTTCGATCTCGCATACCCGGGCCCCGCGACGGCCCCTTGGACTTCGGATGCATCGATGTGGCGCAGAGGTCCCGCGCTCGGAATCGGCAGCGCTGGCGTTTTGGTTGTTGACTACTCGCGGCCCCATTGGATACCTGTACGGACAACCGACAACAGCTTTATTGTCTCGGGTTGGCAGGCTGGTCTGTGGCTCAGCCTCATAAAGAACAGGTGTGGGGAAATCGAAGCCGACATCTTGCTAATAATACATTCTAGCATGTGGTTATATGAAACTGTAACACCCAGATTGATGAAGTTAGTCTTGGAATTACCCCGCAGCCCTGGTATGATGCTACACTAGGTCATGAAAAAGCTCACGCCCTGGCCCAGAGAGCCTTGAAGGAGGGTGCCCTGAATCCAATTAGACCGCAGTTGAATCAGCGGAGAAGCCTCGGGGACCGCCTCAAAGCCTCAGCTGATAAAAGCTCTTCGGACAGCACCTGTCGGCATAGCTATCAAGACCCAATGTTGAGGCAGCCGAAGGTCATGAGTTGAGTCATATACTGCAGCAACTCATGGCAACATCCCACGCCATCTGGCTGGCTCTTCCGAGTTGACGCTAACTGAGGCTAACTGACGCTAATCGACGCGAGCCGACGCGAAATCGGCGCTACTTTGACGCTAATCGACGCTAAATCGTCGTTCCCCCATCGATGGCCAGACGCTGGCGCACGCTAACGCACCCTAAAGACGGAAACGTACAAACACACACACACACACAAACACACACAAGGCTCCGATGATTTGCTACCGAAGTCCTGCTGGCAAATGCGGTCTCTTTAATGCATACATCGGTGGGCCAGTCGACGTAGCGGCTGGCGGGGCTGTAGGTACGGCCGTCCGAACCGTCGACACACACACACACACACACTGAAACTTGGCGCTAGAAAGCGGCGCACCTAGCGCCAGCAGCATAGTGCGATGGGGAAGGTGCAACGCAATGATGCAGAACGTTGAGCCGAATGCAAACAAAGAATACGAGCTAGCAACACAACGACTAACAACCCCTTGGCGAGGCGCAGCTGTGGTGCGCCATGCTGCACAACAGTATAGAGGCACATGCAGTGAGGGAGCGATGGATGCCCAGTGGATATCAAGTACGGCTGTGCCCAGATGGCCACGCCTTACATGTGCGGAATCAGGCTACCCCAACGCCAACAGGAAGGTCGGAAGGGGGCATGGCAAACGGCTGCCGCCGTGCCCTCCCGAAGACGCCCCGACTGGCGCCGAAGGGGGAGACGGAGCGCGGGAGGGCGAGAGGGCCGCTCGGCCAGGCACACCCGCGCGCACACACGAGCCTGCGCGCTGCGAATGCTGACGCGGGAGCGGCAAGCAGCGGGGGCAAAGGGTACACACTCGGAGAGGGGGGGGAGAGGAGGGGCAGCGCAGGAGGGGGGAGGCGGTCGGGGAAGGAAATGAAAACGAAGGGACCGGACAAGGGAGGAAGGCAGGGGAGGAGAACCAAGAGTGTAAACACACAGATAAAAATATGGCCATCACTCTCGCCATCTCCCGCCTGCGGTGACAAACGCTGTCACGGCGGCAAGTGCAGAGTCGCGCCAGGTCATCCTCCCACTTCCCACATCCCCCTCCCACATTTCTGCAGACCTCCTCCCTCGTCCGTCCTCCCTCGGCCCCCAATCCTGGCCACGCCTCATCGTGCCCTCCTCCCTCCCTCATCCATCCCTCCCCTTTCCCGATTCAACCTTTGATTCGGTTCCTGCTCCGCCTCTCTCCTCCTCCTGCTTCTAACGCAACGCCACCAGGCTTTCCCACCCCGCGCCGCCGCACCGTCGCGCGCGCACGCCGCGGGCGGGGGCGCGGGGGCCCCCAGTCCACTGAGGGAGCCGTGTCCGAAGACCGGAAAGGGGGGAAGCCATGTGCCCATCCCGCCGTAGACGTAACAGCTTGGCAGAAACATTGCACACGGAATATAGTGTCTGTTGCGTTAGCAGCAACAGTGTACACGGAACGTACTGCCCGTACCGCTGTGGACGTGGCACGTACACGTGCCACCCTTGTCCGTAGCGCTGTGGGGCAAGTACAACCGACATGGAAGGAGGATAGTACGCTGGAGTACCAAAACCAACGGCTTCTGCGTGGCGGCCGGTCTCACTGCGTTACTGCGCCATCCGATCGCAAACTACGTCGAACAAGCTTTCGTCGTTGAACACGTCGAGGGAAAATTGGGCGACCCCAGGCTGGTCCTCCGCAGATGCAAGATCGCATAGCCGCGCGCAATCGTTTTGAAGCATGCTGAGATAATGAAAAGGTTGGGCCACATCTTCGCACACTTGCCGAGCCTTTGCTTGAAGTGCTTTGCCGTGGGTATCCCGAGTGTCTGCCCTGGCGCGAGAATACGTTGATCCACTTTGGTATGACCATCGCTCGAACCGCTGGTCACAAGTGCCCTGGACCCCTCTTGGCCGTCGAGGGCAGGTCTAGCTTTAAGCCCCAAAAGGCCCACGCGGGTGCCATCCCGTAGCTCAGCTTGTGGGTTTCATCGCTCTGCTGGTGGCTCTCGTAGCTCAGCAGAGGGGCATCGATGTAAGTTTGCTGGCTCTCGTAGCTGTGCCAGTGGCCCTCGTAGCTCAGCTCGCAATACTCGCAGCTCAGCTGGTGGCTCTCGTGGCTTTGTCTCTGGGCCTCTCGTAAACAAGCTCGTGGTCCTGCGTGTTCAGATACTCTGGCTTGTTATTGTAGTCTGGCTGGCGGCTCGCGTAGCTCAGGTGGTAGCCCTCGTCGGTCCGCAGGTGGTTCTCGTAGCTCCGCCGTCGGCTCTGCTCGCGGCGGTCATTGTTCAGCTTCTTGGCCAGGTAGCTCAGCAGGTAATCCTCGTTGCTGCACTGGTGGCCCTTGGAGGTCGAACGTGGTCCTTGCAATTTAGCTCGTCGCCCTGGTAGCTCCGCGGGAGGCTCTCGCAATTCTGCCTCGTAACTCCGCAGGTAGCCTGTGTAGCCGAGCTGGTGGCTCTCGGAATTCTGCACCGGGTCCTTTCGGTTCAGCTCGTCGCCCTAATAGCTCAGCAGGAGGCTCCAATAGCTACTCCTGTAGTCCGCGTAGCTCTGGTCGTGGTCCTCGTTGCTCAGCAGGTGGCCCACGTAGCCCTCGCAGCTGTGCCATTGGTCCTCATAGCTCAGTTCGCAGTCCTCCTGGCTCCGCTGCCCGGTCCACCAAGGCCAAAATCATTACAATAAGCGTCGCCGCCGCCGCCGCCGCCGCCGCCGCCGCCGCCGTCGTCGTCGTCGTCGTCGTCGTCGTCATCGCCGTCGTCGACGCCGCCGCCGCCGCCACTGCCGCAGCCGCCACCGCCGTCGTCGTCGCCGTCGCCGTTGCCCTCGCCGCCGCCGTCGCCGTCGTCGCCGTCGCCGTCGCCGCCGTCGCCGCCGTCGTCGTCGTCGTCGGCGTCGCCGTCGCCGTCGTCGTCGTCGCACCGCCGCCGCCGCCGTCGTCGGCGTCGTCGTCACCGTCGTCGTTTCCCTCCCTGTCGTCGTCGCTGTCGCCGCCGCCGTCGACGTCGTCGTCGCCGTTGTCGTCGCCGTAGTAGTGGTAGTAGCTGCATTTGTAGTAGCTCTGGAAGTGACAGTTGTGTTGGTAGCAGTTCCAGTTGCATTAATAGCAACGTCAACGCCGGTAGCGGTAGCAGTGCCACGCTAAGTTGATGTAGCTGCGGGGTGCCAGTAACAGTAGCCCTGGTGGTAGCAGTCATAGCATTAGTAGCAGTAGTAGTAACAGTCGCCGTAGCAATTGTAGCAGTAGTGGTAGCAATACTAGTAGTAGTAGTATAGTAGTAGTAGTAGTAGTAGTAGTAGTAGTAGTAGTAGTAGTAGTAGTAGTAGTAGTAGTAGTAGTAGTAGTCGTAGTAGCAGTGGTAGTAGCAGTAGTATCAATAGTCGTAGTAGTCGTAGTAGTCGTAGTAGTAGTAGTAGTAGTAGTAGTTAACTTAGTAGACGTAATATTCGTCGGAGTCGCAGTTGTAGTATTCGGAGTAGTACTGGTTCTAGTAATAGCACTCGTAAAAGTAGCTGTAAAAGTAGCGGCAGCAGCGGCTGCTTGGAACATCCCCGACAAGGACATCTGACAGAAGCACGATGAGAAACGCTCAGCGGAAAAACGAACAGGTGTAATTTTCTCTGGCACGGTTCAAGCACGCGCCGCGTTCGCCGACGTCCGCGCGCAGGCTCACCGAGACGCCCCGCTCTCAGTGCCCCAAGAATCGAGCGCTGCCGCTGTCCCGAGCCTGCGCCATCGCGACCAGACACCCCGAATGCTGGTCGCCCCCAGCAGCCGCCCCAGCGGCCGCCCCCCATGCCGGTTCGCGCCAGAGGCTGCGAATCACCGCCAGAGGCCAGAATCGTTGTGCGCCATCATCATCACCACATGGCATTCTATCGCTGCCAGTGTTTCTTTTTCCACAGCCGCAAGCGAATATTCCCCGCCTGCATCGGGGAACATCAGGGCAGCCGCGTCCTTCTTCGCGTCGCCCCGAAGGTGTTCCTTGACGCCCATGCGAACTAGAGCCATTGACAACAATCGCTCGTCGAAGTCCAAACTAGCACGCGGGGGGAGCCCATCGAGCAAGTCCCACGCGCAGGCCCAAGCGCGGAGAACATCACTTTTGGAGACTCCTGCATCGCGCAGCGCATGGACGGGCTTAGCATCGAAGGACAGGATGCTCGCGACAGAGTCTGCGACGCCCCGCCTCCTCTCAGAGACCGCGCAGGCCAGAAATAGACCTCCTGCGTGCCACGCGCGGCAACAATTACATATTGCGCCCGCGGCGGGAGCGCGCACCCAGCGCAAGATTTCCTGGAGCACCCACGCCGCGATGGAGACGATGGCTGGCGTCGCTGCGGTTTTGCCCCTGACTCGCGCATGACAAAGAGTCTCGCCTGAGGGCGCACTCGCGCCAGCGGCTGCGACCGGGGCAACCAACCCCAAATCTTGCGCGATGGGCACCTGGGGCGCAGGCGGCGGGAACACCCTGCGAGGAACAGCTTCTCTGTTCTTGCTCAAGCACAGGAAACAGACGAGATCGTCGACCCCGCATGTCGCGCTGGAGGATGCAACGACCCCGTCCCCCGGGGGCGTCGCGCCAGAGGCTGCGATTTCGACGGCCAAAATAGCGCAGGCCGCCTCCGCCTGTTCGTACGAATCTATACCTGCGTCGGCCAGGCCCTCTTCAGCCCCAGACCCCATGCCAGCGATCAGGGGCCAATCTTTGTCCTCGACGGGCGCGCGCAGGCCCTCCGCTTTGAACAGCCACCGCACAAACCTGGAGAGCCAGAAAGCGGACCACAAATCCTGTCAAAGGGGAGGGGGAGAGAAATGGGGGAGGGGCGGGATGGGGGCGCCAGGCAGGAGGGGGGCCCGGACATCTGCTGTCGTATATATCCAGATCCGAGAATCGGTGTCGCGTTATGTCATACGAGAACGAAGACGAAGACGACGACGACGACGACGACGACCACGACGACGACGACGACGGTGCCGACGCTGACGACGACGACGACGCTGACGCTGACGCTGACGCTGACGACGACGACGACGACGACGACGACGTCGACGAAGACGGCGCCGACGCCACTTGCCTCCTCGGCAGGCCACCGACGACGACGACGACGACGACGACGACGACGACGACGACGACGACGACGACGAGGACGACGACGACGACGACGACGACGACGACGGGCGATGTCGTCGCCTCGGCTGGATTCCCCCTTGAGATCGTGGTCAAAGAGGACACCGATGCCCAACCAGAGGGCCGCAATCGGGAGGCCCCGCGTGGGATGTTTTCGGTTCCCACGCCACCTGACTCGATTGTATGTGGCGCCGGCCCATAGCTGCATCTCGTGCTTTCGCAGGATGCTCTCGGCGTCCCTGAACGTGGGCTTCGCGGCGAACAACTCGGCGAGATCTACGCAAGCGTCCCGGAGCTTACCATTCTGCACGTCAGGCACCAATTTCTCGAATTCGTGCGCACCAGTGCGGCGACTAGCCGGGTTCTTGTAAGGATGATACGCAAAAGTCTCGCCAGGGGCTGAGATTGCGATACATTTCCGGTCTTGGCGGGGTACTAACTGAACATCGTGCTCCCGGCGATTTCCGACGACCTGGTAACCGTCCATGTCCGCCTCCATCGAAGACCACGCGCCCTTTAAGATCTCAGCTCTGTCTGCGGAGTCCGCGCGCTCAAAACGGGATAATGCCTTCGACAAGTATCCAAGAAGTGAGCTCGCCGACCACCGCCAGTAGCACAGATAGACCACCGCTAAAAGCTCCAAGCGCACTGCAGTCGCGCCAGAGGCTGCGGCCCGAAGATACTCGCCGCTCGCTACGCCGACGCGAATGTCATGTCTGTGAAGCAAAGTGAGAATGAAACCGCCGGCGACGCACGCGCCGATTTTCTCTGTCGGCTTGCCCAAGATATCGCTCACCCTGGCAACTTTCCAATGCTGCCCTTTCAGAGGCGCGCGGTACTGCGCGCACTTCGAGTTCTTGCAGCTTCCATCATGGTCTCTGGCGCGCTGGTGGCACGTCTTGCATCTCAACACCATCGCGCCAGAGGCTGCGAGGCGCAGCCCCACAACGCGCGCCCTGGCGCCCCCGCGCAGACCCCGTGCTCAGCAAATGAGCGCTTGAGCCCGCTTGAGCCCGCTTGAGCCCGCTTGAGCCCGCTTGAGCCCGCTTGGCCACGCGCGATCGCAGAGAGACGAACGTCTCTCTTGGGGCCCATTATGAATGGTGCTGTCTGCCTCTGGGCATGGCTGGTGCTGGCTCTGCCCAATATGTGCGGGTGTCTGGCTTTCCTTTGATGGTGGTCAAGTCTACTTTTCGGCGGGGTCTGGTCCAGTTTTTGGCAGGGTCTGGTCAACTTTTGGATGGTCTGCTCTACTTTCTGGCAAAGTCTGGTCTAATTTTTGGCAGGGCCTGGTTTACCTATGAGTGGTCTGGTCTACTTTTTGGCAGGGTCCGGTCTACTTTTTGGCAGGGTCGGGTTTACTTATGGGTGGCCTGGTCTACTTTTTGGCAGGGTCTGGTCTATTTTTTGGCAGGGTCTGGTTTACTTATGGGTGGTCTGGTCTACTTTTTGGCAGGGTCTGGTCTACTTTTTGGCAGGGTCTGGTTTACCTATGGGTGGCCTGGTCTACTTTTTCGGCAGGGTCTGGTCTACTTTTTGGCAGGGTCTGGTTTACTTATGGGTGGTCTGGTCTACTTTTTGGCAGGGTCTGGTCTACTTTTCGGCAGGGTCTGGTTTACTAATGGGTGGCCTGGCCTACTTGTCGGCAGGGTCTGGTCTACTTTTTGGCAGGGTCTGGTTTACTTATGAGTGGTCTGGCCTACTGTTTTGGCAGGGCCTGCTCTACTTATGGGTTGTCTGGCCTACTTTTTAGGCAGGGCCTGGTCTACTTTTTTGGCAGGGTCTGGTTTACCTATGGGTGGTCTGTTCTACTTTTTGGCAGGGTCTGGTCTACTTTTTGGCAGGGTCTGGATTACCTATGGGTGGTCTGGTCTACTGTTTGGCAGGGTCTGGTTTACTTTTTGGCAGGGCCCGGTCTACTTTTTAGCAGTCTGGCCTGCTTCTTCGCAGGGTCTGTGCGACGGGGCTGCCATTGATAGCTTCTCTGGCATGAGCGACGGCGCAGCGTGGGGGTGGGGGGACGGGGGATGGGGGAGGAAGAGGCGGAGGTGGAGGTGGAGGAGGAGGAGGAGGAGGAGGAGGAGGAGGCGGAAGAGGAAGAGGAGGAGGAGGAGGAGGAGGAGGAGGAGGGGGAGGAGGAGGAGGAGGAGGACGAGGAGGAGGAGGAGGAGGAGGGGAGGGGGAGGAGGAGCAGGGAGGAGGGGCAGGGGGAGGGGGGGGCGGATGAGCAGGAGGGCGATGAGGAGGGATGGGGGGCGGAGGACGGAGAGAAGTTTCACGGAACAAATGACTCCCTCTGGGGACCTGGTCGACATCCAGGAGCACGACGACGAGGACTAGCAGGGGCGGGGGGGGCAGAGACGGGAGGGAGGGGGCGAGTAGAGCCGGGGGCAGGGACAGGGCGGGAGAGCGATGCAGGAGCGACGTCCCACGGTGGACAGGCCAGGCGGTCCTGTTCTGGCGCCCTCAAGCTTTCCCCTGGACGTCGAGCCTCACTCCCGCCAGAGGCTGGGTTTTGCTGCGCCCTTGTGCTCGCGAGGGTGCAGGATTAGCAGCAGGAGCAGGGGGGAGACTGAGGACTAATGCAGCAGGGAGCGGAGGGGAGGACGACAATGAGGAGGGAAGCTGTTTCCAAGATTGTTTCGGCTTCGCTCGGACGCGGAATCTGCAGTTCCGCTGTAAAAAATCTGGCATTGGCACCGAAGCTGGGCGCGAGGCTACTCCCGCCAGAGGCTGGGCTCGGCACCGCAGGCGCCGAGGGCAAGTGCTCACCGCCGCCCGCGTTTCCCCGGGTTCGAGGGCAAGCCGTACTTGCCCTCCTCCTGGTGGCGCAACGCCTTCGCGTTGCGCCTGAGGACTCCCGCCGCGGACTGCGAGGTCGAATGCTTGCGCTTCTGGATCCACGCAGGCAGGCTCAGGTAAGCGCGGTAGATGTCGTAGCATGAGCACAAGTGTTTCCCGAACCAGAAGAGTTCGGCCAGCGTGATGAATTGGCCACTGCGGATCTGCCAGTTCCCGAAGGCTGGGTCGCTCCTCATCAAGCCAGTCTCGCCGCCGTCCTTCATCATGATCCAGTCCAGGTCTTGGATGGTCAAGTTTCCTTTGTGGGTGGATACCCACGAGTACGTGTCCCAGCCGCGCGAAAATTGGTAGCGCCAGTAGCAAGGTTGAAGGATGCTCCCGCCAGAGGCTGGGAATGGCTCCCACCCCGCCCGCGCAAGCCTGGCCTCGCCATCGTGCAGTGCCAGAATGTGCTTCACGTAGTCGCGCGTATCGCGCAGGCGAAAGTCCTCAGTCGTGGCGACGGATTCTCTCCAACGGTGCCGCCCCCTGTCCCTCCCCCTCCTCGCCCTCCCCCCTTCCCCCCCCTTCCCCCATCCTCGTCCTCTCCCTCCTCCTTCGCCGACTCCCTACCGCGTGGAGGGAACTGGGGGATGGGTGGAGAGGACGTGGCTGGGGGTCGACTGGGCTTCGGCATCGTTGGAGACAACCCCCGCCATTCCTGCTTGAGCTGCTCCCAGGCGTCGCGCTGGAGCACCCACCACCCGCCAGAGGCCGGGGACAAGTCCGGCCACTCCTCGACGAAGGTGAGCCATTCATCCTCGTCCATCTTGTTTGTCAGCAAACGCATGTAGTGCATCTTCCTGCTGGCGATGGCCTTGACGACATCCTCGTTGGCGCCGAAACGCATGGTGTTCTTGGAAGGGATTCCAGCGATGAACTCCGGAGCGCCCGGGATCGGGTCCGCGTACTCCAGCAACTCACCGAGGAGAAGCGCCCGACGCTCGTCGCGAGCTCTCGCCAGTTGCGGAGCCTCTCGAGGCATGCGCTCACGCAGGCTGACCCTTCCCTGCCAGTACTCGCCGAAGTGCACCTGCCGCTCACTGGTGCGCACGATCTGGCGCAGCCGCTCCTTCTGGTCCTCCGACAGGCGCTCCAGTTTCTTGGCGGACACGTGCACGGTGAGGTCGACCTCGCCGTCCGCCCCGCCAGAGGCTGGGTCGCGTGTACGTTGAGGCCCCGGTCGGGACCTCGAGCGGCGACGCACCCTGTGCTGCGGTTCAGCCGGGGGGGCCTGCTCCAGCGCGGGCTCGGCGTTGACGTCCTGCTCCTCCCCTCCAGACGACAAGCTGTCGTCCTTATCTTCGGTATAATCGATATACCCTGCACTTCAGCCGTTTCCTCCGCTCCCACCTGGTCGTCCGCGAGGTTGTCCTGGCGCTCGGCGCCACCGCTCGGCGCAGGCAGCAACGCGGAGGCCACTCCGGTCGCGTCGGCGGGCGCCCCGAGCGCCGCCGCGGGCGCCCCCGCCAAAGGCACCTGCAGGGGCGTCGCCGCCAGAGGCTGAGGCGGCGGAGCAGAGGCTGACGTGCGCGCCGGCGCGGGCTCGGTGGCGCACGCCAGGGGCGGCGGAACAGACGTGCTCGCCGGAGCTGCCTGCGGCGCCAACGCGGAGGCGCGCGCTGCGTCTCCCGCCAGAGGCTGGGGCAACGACGCGGAGGCCGCTCCGGGCGCGTCGGCGGGCGCCCCCACCGCGGCCGCGGGCGCTTCCGCCAAAGGCAGCTGCAGGGGCCTCGCCGCCAGAGGCTGAGGCGGTGGAGCAGAGGCTGACGTGCGCGCCAGCGCGGGCTCGGTGGCGTACGGAAGGGGCGGCGGAACAGACGTGCTCGCCAAAGCTGCCTGCGGCGCCAGCGCGGATGCGCGCGCTGCGTCTCCCGCCGGAGGCTGGGACAACGACGCGGCCGCCGGGGAAGCAACGGGCGCCACGCTGCCGCTTCCGGAGGCGCTCGCGGAAGCGCTCGGCGGCAACATGGCCGGGCGGGCGGCGACATGGCAGGGCCCCGTGGGAGCGGAAAAGCCGGGCGGCCAGATCCGGCCGGCTTCGGCGACAACCCAAAATATCGCCTCCGCCTGGACGAGGTTCTCCTCCGTTGCGGAACCCCCCGCAAGGAGCCACCACATCGCCGCGAGCGGATCTTTGATCGTGTTGGTGCTCCACCCACAAGTGAACTTCGCGCCAGAGGCTGCGAGCGTCACTGCCAAATCCCAGGGGGACTGGTGGTACTTGGACGCCCGGCCATCTTCGTCTAAGCGCCGAGGGTGCAGGGACTTGTCCACCTTGTGCTGCGTGACGGTGGATACGAGCGGGTGGCTCTCCAAGAGGGCCGCGATCCGATGGATGTTTGTGTAGTGCTCCATCAAAACGCCATCCTTGACTCTGGTCTCCAAGCCCGCCTGGGATTCTGCTCCCTTCGGAGGGGGTGTCCCGCCAGAGGCTGGGGCCCTCACGAGGAAAGGAACGAGCAGCCACGCTTGAACACCGCCTGCCGGCTGCTTCACAGTGTAGTAGTGCCACGGACGTTGTGCGCTCTTCTTCGGTTTCTCACTTGTATACCCAGACACAATGGGCTCGGTGGCTCGGAGAGGATGGTCGTGGCGCCAATCCCGCAAATATGGCGCCAGCCAATTGGGCTCACTGAGAGGATCCGCGGACATCCCGCGCGCTGCTCGGGCGCTGGGCGCAGGCGCCGGGACTTCGTGAACAGCGGTTGCAGCACGAGCGGCTTGAGCCGAGAGGGCCTTGGAGAGCAGCTGCCACCTGCCCCTCCTTCCTCCACCCTTCCTCTTCAAGATCGGTCCCCGGAGCCCTCCCGAGTCCCAACGCATTGATTTTCCAAGGTGCGCCCATCCGTGGCGACGAGGCCCCCCCGAGGGCCCACTACCGGTGTCTCCAACGGACATCCTGAGAGTATCCTGGTCGTACTCCTCCTCCTCCTCCTCCTCCTCCTCCTCCTCCTCCTCCTCCTCCTCCTCCTCCTCCTCCTCCTCCTCCCCCCCTTGCCGGCGACCTGCGGGCCCGGCTCCCCCTCCTCCTCCCCCCCCTCCTCCTCCTCCTCCTCCTCCTCCTCCTCCTCCTCCTCCTCCTCCTCCTCCTCCTCCTTTCCGTCCCCCCCCCTTCCCCCGCCCCCCCGCGTGCCAGGCGCGTGCACGCTTATATGGCTGAGATTGTGGGCCCAAACAACCACGCGACTACCATCGGGGTGAGCGACCGAATGGAGCTACAGCAGGCCATCGCATAGCATAGCATCGCGTGGCATAGCACAGCAGAGCACAGCAAATGTCGTTCCGTGTACAACAGCCACGCACGATCACCACGTGGCTCCTACCGAGGTTTTTGGGCGGAACACCACATCTGCAGCATCGCATCCCGTCGCATGGCGTCGCAGACCATAGCCTAGAAGGCGTCAAATAGGAGAGCAGCGCATGGCGTGGCACAGCATAGCGCAGCAACGCATGGCATAGCACGGCGGTATGGCATAGCATGTGATACAATAGCAAACCAGCAATGCTTTTCCGGTGCAAGACCACCTCAAAGGTATCCCACACCCCGCCTGGAAGAGCACCAGAACACCCATCAAATCGCTAAGACCACCAAAAAGCAAACCAGAACGAGCCCACAAGTAAACAAGACCTTCCAGTAAAGCGAGCCAGGCCTCCCACAAGTAGAGCAGAGCCCGCCCAAGAGTAAAGCAGACCGCCCACAAAGTAGACTGGACCCCGCCCAAAGTTGACGAGACATCGAGGCAAAGCAGAACAGACCACACCAGGAGTACGGCAGACCCCGTCCGACAGAAGAGCAAACCCTGCCCGAGTAAACCAGAACACCCAGAAGTAGATCAGACCCCGCCCAGAAGTATACCAGACCGCCAAAGTGTTGACCCGACCCAGCCCAGAAGGACAGCAGACCTCCTGCAAAAACAAGCCAGGCAACCCAAAAGCAGACCAGACCCCGCCTCATAGTAGACCAGACCACGCCCAACAGTAAACCAGACGACGCCAAAAGTAGAGCAGCCCACCCATCGAAGCACCCCAGACCCTGCCCCACAGTAAGCCAGACCTCCCGGTAGGGCAAGCCACACCACCGAAAAGTAGAGCAGAGCCCGCCCGAAAGTAAACCAGACCACCCACAAGTAAAGCAGACCCCGCCCAAAAGTAACCCAAACCAGAAGGAGGAGTAGACCCCGCCTAAAAGTAGACGAGACCACCCACAAGTGTATCAGACCCCGCCGAGCAGAACACCAGACCTCCCATCCAAACGCTCACACAGCCGGAAATGAAAGGAAAGCCTACTCAAAAGTACACCAGAACTCCAAGTAAAGCAAGGCAAGCCACCCAAAAGTAGAGCACTATCCGCTCGAAAGTAAACCAGATCACCCAAAAGTACACCCGACGTCGCCCAAAAGACGCCCAGACCCCGCACCAAAGTGAACCACACAGCCCACAGGTACACAAGAGCCCGTCCAAAAGAAGAGCAGACACCGGCCGAACGTATACCAAGGCGCCCAAAGGAGACCTGATCCCGCCGAAAAGGACACCAGGCTCCCGAGCAAAGCAGGCTAAGGCGGCCAAGAAAGCAGACCAGACCTGGCCCAAAAGTCACCCGCACCTGAAAGGCCACCGAGCCATGCCGCCCAAAAGTAGAGCAGGCCCCACCCACAAGTAAGCCAAAGCACCACCAAGTAGACCAGACCCCTTCCAAAAGGGTAGCGGGCCCCGCCCACAAATGAAGCAGAGAACCGAAAAGTAAACCAGACCCCGTTCAAAATGACACCAGACCGTCCGAACATGTAGACCAGACCCCGCTCATAAGTGGGACGGCGACAAGGATCAGGCACAACGTGGAGGAGGAGGAGGAGCAGCAGCAACAGAAGCAGCAGCAGGCGTCGCAACAGGCAGGCGGGAGGAGGATGAGAAGGAACAAAGGTGGGCGGATGATGGTGGTCGAAGAAGCACATGATGATGAAGGGTGAGTAATGGTGGGGATGATGATGATGGTGATCATCATGATGATCATGATGACGATGATGATGACATTGATGAAAATTATGATGGTGATAATGATGGAGAGGCGCATGAAGACCCGAGGGAAAAAGGCGGGGCCGGTTCTGGAACCGAGGGAAGAAAACGGGGCCGGTTCTGGAACCGAGGGAAGAAAACGGGGCCGGTTCTGGCACCGTTGGAAGAAAACCGGGCCGGTTCTGGAACCGAGGGAAGAAAACGGGGCCGGTTCTGGAACCGAGGGAAGAAAACGGGGCCGGTTCTGGAACCAAGGGAAGAAAACCGGGCCAGTTCTGGAACCGAGGGAAGAAAACCGGCCCGGTTCTGCAACCGAGGGAAGAAAACCGGGCCGGTTCTGGAACCGAGGGAAGACAACCGGGCCGGTTCTGGAACCGACCACAACAAAAGAACACTTTTTCAAAATCCGGACGTGTTTTCTTCTGTCGGTTGCGCAACCGACACAAGAAAAACATACCTGATTTGGTATGTTGTGGTCCAAGTTGTGGGCGTCATAAAGAATCAAATACAGCGCCCACAACCTGACACCCAACATGCCAAATCACGTATGTATTTCTTCACTCGGTTGCGCAACCGAGAGAAGAAAACATGTTCGAGCTGTTTGGTGGTCGGTTCCACAACCGACCCGGTTTTCCCTCGGTGCCACAACCGCCCTGGTTTTCTTCCCTCGGTTCCAGAACCGGCCCGGTTTTCTTCCCTCGGTTCCACAACCGGCCGGGTTTTCTTCCCTCGGTCCCAGAACCGGCCCCGTTGTCTTCCCTCGGTTCCAGAACCGGTGCCGTTTTCTTCCCTCGGTTCCAGAACCGGCCCGGTTTTCTTCCCTCGGTTCCAGAACCGGCCCTGTTTTCTTCCCTCGGTTCCAGAACCGGCCCCGTTTTCTTCCCTCGGTTCCAGAACCGGCCCCGTTTTCTTCCCTCGGTTGCAGAACCGGCCCGGTTTTCTTCCCTCGGTTCCAGAACCGGCCCGGTTTTCTTCCCTCGGTTCCAGAACCGGCCCGGTTTTCTTCCCTCGGTTCCAGAACCGGCCCGGTTTTCGTCCCTCGGTTCCAGAACCGGCCCCGTTTTCTTCCCTCGGTTCCAGAACCGGCCCCGTTTTCTTCCCTCGGGTCTTCATGCGCCTCTCCATCTTCATCACCATCATCATCAATAGCACCATCACCGCCAACATCATCATCATCGTCATCATCATCATCATCATGATCATCATCACCACCACCATCACTCACCCTTCATCATCATCATGCTCATCATCATCATCACCATCATCTTCATCAATGTCATCATCTTCGTCATAATCATCATCATCACCACCTTACTCTCCGTTCACCATTGTTTCCACTGTTGTGCACACTCGCCGCGCACGTCCGAAGGCGTGTCTGGAAGTTGCCCCATCCGGGCAGGAGAGTGGTCTTGACATCAAAATTAGCCGCGCCTGCGATCTAGCACGCTTACGCGCGCGCCCAGGGGGCCACCCCCGAAACTTCTCTCTCGCTGGAGTAGCGACGCGCTCAAAACTTCGCCACCGTGGGAGGGCCTGGCCGCGCCAGCGGCGCGCCAGAGGCTGCGGCATCTTCCCCCCCGCGAACGCGCGCCTGCGATCTAATCCTCCGCCGAGTCCTCGCTTCCCCCATCGCCCTCCGCCGCGTCCTGGACTGGCTCGAGCATGCGCCGCGCCTCCATCATCGTCCCCGCGAAGTACTTCTCCACTTTCTCGACGAAGGCCTCGTCGCCGCCGAGCATCTTCGCGAAGTTCTTGTCACGCCCCGCCAAATACATCGCGCATCGGTCCATGGTCGAATCGAGCCACTCCCGGTGCACCTCGTTCGCCGCCACGCCCTCGTACTCCATCGCGCCAGCGGCTGCGATTGCCAACGCGGCAGACCCCGCCGAGAAGTCAACGATGTGGGTGATGTGGTGGTGCTCGCAGAGACGCTGCCACAAATGCAATGGCTTCACTTCGAGGTGCGAAAAGGGGTGCCCTTTCGATTCGATGTCTTTCTGCGCGCGCTTCCCTTTGACCGCGCCAGCGGCTGCGTTTCCCAGGATTGAAGCCTTCGTCTCGTAAGTCATGCGCGGAAGCTCGCAGTATTGCCGCATAGGCACGCCCGTGTACGTCGTTGCCGCACTCGAAGACTCGCCGCACGAGTTGAACTCCGCGCGGCCCACTACCTTCATGGCGCCTCTCTTCGGGATCGAGCAGATGGCCACTTCCTTGTTGTTGCACGCGAAAGAAGTCACTCGTCCCGGAACTCTGGGATCCTCTTGCTTGGTCGGCTGCACGTACACGCACCAGCACTCCGTCAGGGCGTGCGCGCCAGAGGCTGCGAGACTGTCCTCTTTCTCCTCGATCAGCTTGCGGCACGAGCGGCTCCGCCCATCGAGGAAGATCACGATATCGTGAACCGAGCGCTTCTGGCAGACGAAATCCAGCACGCGCCCGAAGCGGTCCGCATCGCAACCGACGGATTCGCCCAAGTTCGCCGCCACCCCGCTCTTGCTCACGTTTGGGGGGAACAGGTCGGCCGCCAGAACGAATGCTCGGACGTCAGTTTTTTTCCTGCCGTACCTGTGTCCGAGACGCATCTCTTCCCAAACCTTCTGCAACTGGGCAGTGCTGTATTCCGCGCCAGACACCCCGCCGACCGACGGCAGCGCAACGAACGAAACGGTCTTCCTGCGCAGAGAGATCAGCAACTCCTGGGTTTTGCGGAGCTCCTCCTGGTCACCATCCTCGAGCTCCGACGCCCCCAAGACCACGCCGGAGGCCGACTTCGCGGCAGGGTCCGCCGGAATGGGGCCTGCCGAGCAAGCTGCGACGAGCGCACGGTACTTGACGCCCATCTCCTTGGTGCTCTCGTTTAAGTACCGGTGCCACAAGAATCCGGGCGCACCTCCCTGCAGGTCCTGGGCGCAAAGCTCCTCGAGCTCCGCGTCGAAATGGCCAGCCCAGACGCCCCGCGCGAAGTCGATGACCGCCTGCGTCTTCCCGTCCTGGCCCTGCTGGTCGCGGTAGTTGGCCACTGGGACAGCGAATGTGTTTTCGAACCCCCCTCCGGAGTCACGTGTCGGGGTCTCGTCTCGACGAAACTGAGCAGCTAAGCCATCTTCCTCGCCAGTGGCTGAGAAGTGCTTCAAGACGGCAAGCGGCGAGCGAAACATGGAGACTGAAACCGCAATTGCCTTGTCGATCATCGCCGCCTCGTGAAGAATGTACGCCATGAGATCTTGTTTCTTGAAGAGCACGTGCGCCATCGCTGGGGACTTTTTCTCCTGTCCCGCGACCTTGCTCAAGGCCAGGCCCTCCCCCCTAGGGGCGTCGCCGGTCAGCCGGGCCACGCGCAGGCAGTCCATGATGAACGCCATCGACTCGCGGGAGGTCGCGTCCTTGTCTGCCTTGGAAGACGCCGCCCTTCCATTGCATAACTGAGCCAACCGCAGCAACAACGTGGGTTCGCGGAGCTCAGGGCAGAAAGCCTCCGACAAAGAGTATGCCACGACGCACGCCTCATCCCCGACGAAAGGCGTCAAGTTTTTCAAGCACTTCGCGTGTGACTCGGCGAGCGGCTTGCCCTTGAACGCGAGCCCGTAGCTCTTGAGGGCCGCGAACAATTTCGGCAGGGACAGGTTGTCGGCCATAGCCTTCTGGTACCTTGTAAGTAAGGAGCCGCCAGCTTCCAAAAGGAATCCGCGCCAGAGGCTGCGGACGCGGTGAACATGTTCTCAGAGAACATCAGCGCGGCCAGCTGGCAAGCGTCCGAATCGGGGCTGAGACGCAGCCTGATTGGCACACTCAGAGCTGCCTCAAACAACTTGAATGCACGCTCAGTGTTGTCGGTGGACAACGCCTCTGCCATGGCGCCATGCCAAGCCATCGCAAGCGCGTGCCCCGCCAGCATGGGCACGCCCGTTGCCATGAGTACAGAAGATTCGCCTGCGCCCATGCGCTGCGCCACCTTGGTGTTGACCACTCGCGCGGGGAGCGGCACGTCGAACGAGTAGCGCCGCGACGGCGGGTGGTCGGATGACAGCAAGAGCTTCTCCTCAGACCACATCCCCATGGCGGCATCGAGCTGGCTAATGCTGACGGAGTCGGTCGTGTCGCCGGCGAACGGGTCGAGCATCCAGACTGTCCCCGCAGCCTCGTATTGCCCCGTCTTAGAGAAACTCATCTGCAAGTTGTCGTAGTTCATGACCTCCCGGAACGCCGACAAGTTCGCGCCAGAGGCTGCAGCAGAAATTTGCAGGGGAGGGATGAGCATGACGGAGCCCGGAATTTTGAAGGAAACTTGCGTGTGTCGATCTGTCAGGAACTTCAGGAGAGCCTTGTCGACGTAATCCTTCGCCCCCTTGGCCCAACTACGAAGATGGTCCGTCTGGGCCTTCAGCGACTCCATCTCCAGCAGCCCCGTGACGGCCAGTGGCCCTGGCGGTGAAGGCAACGGCGCAGGCGGCGCATCGGTCGGCTGCTGCGCAGGAGGCTCCTGCGCCGTGCGCGGCTTCTTCGCCGCGGGGCCCCCTCCATCTTTGGGCGCCATGCGCGCGAATGAACGAGGTGGCGCAAGCAGAGGCGCGCGGGCCACGTTGCCAGCGCTGGGCACTTGAACCGATCAGCTGCGACGCGTGGTCTTCTCAAACACACTTTTGGATGCCCAGCCATGCTTGGAAAGGTGGTCTGGTATACTTGTGGTCGGGGTCTGGTTTACTGCTGGGCGGCCTGGTGTACTCGTGGGCGGGGTATCGTCGACTGGCGAACGGGTGGTGTACGTTTGGGCAGAGTCTGGTCCACTTTTTGGCGGGTTCTATGTATTTTGGGGAATATCATTTCTGGGTGGTCTGGTCAATGTGTAGGTGGTCTGGTCTACTTTTTGGCAGGGTCTGGTCTACTTTTTGGCAGGGTCTGGTTTACCTATGAGTGGTCTGGTCTACTTTTTGGCAGGGTCTGGTCTACTTTTTGGCAGGGTCTGGTTTACTTTCGGGTGGTCTGGTCTACTTTTTGGCAGGGTCTGGTCCACTTTTTGGCAGGGTCTGGTTTACTTACGGGTGGTCTGGTCTACTTTTGTGCGGGGTCTGGTCTACGTTTTGGCAGGGTCTGGTTTACCTACGAGTGGTCTGGTCTACTTTTTGGCAAGGTCTGGTCTACTTTTTGGCAGGGTCTTGTTCACTTATGGGTGGTCTGGTCTACTTTTTGGCAGGGTCTGGTTTACTTTTCGGCAGGGACTGGTTTACTTACGGGTGGTCTGGTCTACTTTTTGGCAGAGTCTGGTCTGATTTTGGCGGGGCTTTGTTTACTTATGGGTGGTCTGGTCTACTTTCTGGCAGGGTCTGGTTTACTTTTTGGCAGGGTCTGGTTTACCAATGGGTGGTCTGGTCTGCTTTTTGACAAGGTCTGTTGTACTTTTTCGCAGGGTCTGGTTTACTCATGGGTGGTCTGGTCTACTTTTGGGTTGGGTCTGGTCTGGTTTTTGGCAGGTCTGGTTTACTTATGAGTGGTCTGGTCTACTTTTTGGCAGGGCCTGGTCTACTTTTTGGCCGGGTCTGGTTTACTTATGGGTGGTCTGGTCTACTTTTTGGCAGGGTCGGGTCTACTTTTTGGCAGGGTCTGGTCTACTTTTTGGCAGGGTCTGGTTTACTTTTTGGCAGGGTCTGGTCTACGTTTTGGCAGGGTCTGGTTTACCTATGGGTGGTCTGGTCTACTTTCTGGCAGGGTCTGGTCTACTTGTTGGCCGGGCCTGGTTTACATATGGGTGGTCTGGTCTACTTTTTCGGCAGGGTCTGGTCTACTTTTTGGGAGGGTCTGGTTTACTTTTTGGCAGGGTCCGGTTCGCCATCGGGTGGTCTGGTTTAATTTTTGGCATGGTCTGGTTTACTTTTTGGCAGGGTCTGGTTTACCTATGGGTCGTCTGGTCTACTTTTTGGCAGGGTCTGGTTTACTTTTGGGCAGGGTCTGGTTTACTTATGAGTGGTCTGGTCTACTTTTTGGCGGGGTCTTGTCTACTTTTTGGCCGGGTCTGGCGTGCTTATGGGTGGTCTGGTATACTTTTTGGCAGGGTCGGGTCTACTTTTTGGCAGGGTCTGGTCCACTTTTTGGCAGGGTCTGGTTTACTTATGCGTGGTCTGGTCTAATTTTTGGCAGGCTCTGGTCTGCTTTTTTGGCGGGATATGGTTTACGTTGTCTGCTGGTCTGCTTTTTTTGGCAGGGTCTGGTCTACTTTTTGGCAGGGTCTGGTTTACTTTTGGGTGGTCTGGTCTACTTTTTGGCAGGGTCTGGTCTGGTTTTTGGCAGGGTCTGCTTTACTTTTGGGTGGTCGGGTCTGCTCTCTGGCAGGGCCTGGTCTACTTTTCGGCATGGTCTGGTTTACTTATACGTGGTCTGGTCTGCTTTTCGGCAGGTTCTCGTTTACTTGTTTGTAGGGTCTGGTCTGCTTATGGGTGGTCTGGTGTACTTTTTGGCAGGGTCTGGTCTTCTCTTTGGCAGGGTCTGGTTTACTTATGGGTGGTCTGGTGTACTTTTTGGCAGGGTCTGGTCTACTTTTTGGAAGGGTCTGGTCTACTTGCGGGTGGTCTGGTCTACTTTTTGGCAGTGTCTGGTTTACTTTAATGGCCTGCCCCCCACCCCCCCCTCCCGCCCCATCTTTCGACAAGAACCGCGAAACCGTGCGCGGTTCTCCCCTGTGTCTGATTAGGCTGGTCCAAAGCTTCGGTATCATGGCTTGCGCAACCTCCCACCCCTGTTGGCACTGCGCGATGCTACAGATCCCTGACCAGAACAACTCGCCTGGACGTGCTTCCAGGGACACGCGAAACGTTTTTTTTTTTTTGTTTGTTTTCTTTCTCTCTCTCTCTCTCTCTCTCTCTCTCTCTCTCTCTCTCTCTCTCTCTCTCTCTCTCTCTCTCTCTCTCTCTCTCGCTCTCTCTCTTTTCCCGGGGGGCTCCTCAGGCGCGCATTGGCATTCCGTCCACGGTCACTGCCTTGGGCCCACCTTCATTCCTCACTTTCCTCGCTGCAGACGCCCATGCGACGACGTCGCGCAGACTCGAGAAACACGTCCCGCCAGCGGCTGGGGGGGGCGCTTCCGACACTGCGAGTTTCGACCCCGCTCTGCGGGCCACGCGCCGTGCCGCCGCCCTCACGTCTGGATGCCCCGCGACGAGGCCTGGCGCGAGATGGATCACCTCCCCGCGCTGGTTTGCTGGAACGTGGCGCATGCGGTGGCCGAGTGGAATTCCATCTGGGTGGCACTGGGCAGAGACAAGGTGTGTCTTCGTAACGACGTCGAGGCCCAGCGACGCGATGTAAAAGTAAGAGACGGTCAGGTCCGCGCTGGCTGCTATCGCATCCAAGTCGTGGAGGAACGAAAAGTCTGGAACGACGACGAGGTCTGCTTCTGCACAGCGGTGTCTGCCAATGACAGTAGCGCAACCTCTCGCAGGGCACGCGTCGGTCGCGCCGCCGAGGCTTGCTACCTTGCTGCACGGCGAGGGCCGCGCCAGAGGCTGCGTCGTCGCACCTCGTCTTGGAGCCAGGTGGACGCCGGGCGGACTCGCGAAGGGCGCCCCTGGACACGCCCGCGCCTGCGTGACGCCTGGTATATTCTTGCGGCTGCGCGCCTGGAACTTACCCATGCCATCGTTCCACAAAGCGCTCGCCTCGGTGCCGGCGCCAGAATGCACCGCGGTCGAAGACTGGCCCCGCGCCCGTCGAAGACGCGCGGCAGCCACGGCCAGGCGGGCGGCCCCAAGAACGGCCCGAACACGTCCTCGAACAAGCCCGGGCGCACCGCGCCTCTTTAACTTGGCCGCCGCAGTAGCGTGAGGATTGTAATGCCCATGCCGATGGCCGAACAGTTCCAGCCAGAGGCTGGCGCATTCCCTGGAGAAGGACGTCAGGCCCAGTCCAGAGCGAGCTGCGCCTTCGTCGAAATCAGCCGCCGTCTTCGGCCCGTTCAACTTCACGATTAAGCCGTCGTCGTGGAAGGCGATATCATCGGTGCGGTGCTCTACCCGTTGGTCCCGAAATCTGGCCAAGTCGCGTTCGACGGTGCACTCCCCGTCTTCAATCGAGATGTAGAAACGCACCAGGCGGCAGAGCACGCGAGAAGACCCGCGGAGACGCCTCGGGCAAGCCGCCTCCCAAAAGTCATCGTCGAGCACGCGAGCCCACGCCTGCTGGTTAGTTGCCCCCGCCAGTGGCTGGGATGGCTCCATCTGTTCCATCATGTAGGGAAGCACGCCGTCGTACTGTCGCATCGCCGCCTGCTCGTCGCAACCGAGCAGGGCCGCCAGCTGGCGCGCGCCCCGCAACGGGAACCGCCGCACTTCAACATCAGGCACTGGGCCGAAACCTTTCTGCACGAGACGCCGGTCAAACATCGCCAGCGCCGAGCGGACGTCAGTCCGCGGGAAGTCCTGGGGCAAGCGCTCTTTTGTCAATCCCGCCACGTTCTGCATTCGGTGGAGGAGCTCCTCCTTGTGCGCCGCTGCTGGTTCCCCCCATGGCATCACGGGGTCGCCGTCTGCGTAGAACACATACTTGGTGCGGAGATTGCGCATTACCGTCTCTGTGATAAAGCCCGCCTCATGCCCTACCGCGCGGAGCCGCGGCGGCAGCGGCTCCTCGGCAGCTGGGGCGGTCACGCCAGAGGCTGCGGCTGCCGCGGGGGGGCGGGCGGCCTGGGGAACCGTCTGGAAGACACGCCCTTGCATGAAGACCGCGTCCAACGTCTCGACCACGCAGTCGATCTCAGAACGCGACTTCGCAATGTCGTGGCTGGCGACGTCGAAGAGCCGCAAGAACCAGTTGCATATGATCCCCCAATCCGCCGACACACCAACGGCCATACAAAACTTAGTATCGAATTTCCGCAACAGGGCGCCTGCCCGCTCGCGCTGCTCCCGATCGTGGCGACGGTCGGACGCGATGTACGCCAGCAAGGTTGCCACCGGCAGAAGCATGAGAGCGATTTTCAACACGGGGCCCGCCGTCGAGTCGAAGCGTTGCTTGGCGAACGCCAAGCTCCGCACGATTCCCGCCAGGGGCTGGGGCCCTCCAGGGAGTCCAGGCACCGCCACTGCATGCACGTTGTCCTCCTGGATGGCCACCAGAAGGTTGTGCCACTTGGTAGAATTCATCAGGTCAGGAACCAGCGCATGCCGATCATCGAACAGCTCCTTCCATACCTGCCCAAACACGTCGTCGCAGTGCATCGACTTGCAGGCAATGCGAATGGCGCGAGCTGGGTCGCGAATCGCGATTAACAAGTTAGGGAACAGATCGCGAGCAGCGAGAAAGACTGAACGCCGCTCCTTGGACGCGCCATCGGCAGCGAAACTGGTGACTGTTCCCAGCACGTGCGATTTCAGTTTCTGGTCGCACGCCAGCGGCTGCGCTCCCCTGTGGCCTTTTATTTTGCCGAGCGGCGTACATAATTTCGTAAGAAAGTCATCGAGCTGCTTAACCGCAGTGACAGCGTGGTCATCCTCGAAGTCGGACGCGTGTTTTTTCGAGCAGTCGAGGAGGCCTAACACGCCGGACGCGCAAAATCCTGAAGCGCCAACGTTCCCCACGTGGAGGCCCGCGCCGCTGTTTCGCGCAGAAGGGAGGTCGGGCGCGCCAGAGGCTGCGGTGCAGGCGGCAATCGGGAGGTCGACGCGAAACCGCACGATCTTCCGGTACTTCGACTCATCTATGGCCAAAGAGATGGAAGTCGCCTGGAGCAGCGTTTTGCGGATCCTTCTCCTCAGGACTTCCGCCATCACTTGGAGTTGTCGGCGCTGGCGTTTCCGTATTCTGTTCGCCTGCGTCGCCGCCGGATCAGGCGCGCGGCTTCTCTTATCGCTGACGCGAGCGGCCTTCCGGAGAGAGACTCCTTCTGATAGCACCGCCCACGCGTCTCTCCACTCCGATGGGGTCGGTACGTTTCCCTTAATCAGCCTGGAATCAGACTCAGTCGCCAGAGACTCGCATGGCCTCTCGGTTGGCCAAACGGTCGGGCACGCCAGAGGCTGTGGTGCAATCGGCTGAGCGAACATGTCGGAACCCTTTCTCTTTGTAATCCCACAGGCCACTCTGTGCGACGTGCTGCTGGCATGTCGCTCTAACAGCATCCTGGCGTTGAAGCCCGTCTTCGGGCGAATCTGGAACTTGGCAAACTTTGAAAACCTGGCGCCGTCACACTGGTTGCCAGATGCCGCAAACTCAGAGCAGATCCTACACCCCAGGCCCCATATGCCGCGGCTAACGCCTCGTGACAACCACGACCGGCCCTCGTAGAGGGTACACGCCTCGTAGACCTTAGGTCGCTTCTGCAAATCGCACCGGATGCAGAAACCTTTGCAACCCGCATGGCTTTCCAGATGCTGCGCCTCGGAAATGGCCCCGTCAAACACCTGGAGCATGTCATCCGAGAGGGGACGCTTTCGCGACAGAGTCTGCGAAACCTTTCCACTTGTGGGAACCTTTCTTGCCAGCGGCGGGGACGTCATATTCAAAACTTGTGACCTCTTCGTCGCTTTGACCGCCGCGCATGACCGCGGCCTCCGTGGGAGAGGCCTCGACGACGCCCTCGATGGACTCAGCTTTCGCGGCGAGGAGCGCACAACATGTTGAAATGTCTTTTGTGCCTCGGCCTTCTTCTGGGTCGCCCGCATGGCCGTCGGCTTCGGCCTCCCCTCAGCGCGCCTAGGTTTCGCCTGCTTTCCCGCCAGTGGCTGGGGCCCAAAACGAAGCGGCGGCGCAACCAACACCATCCCGCGCAGTAGATCCCCCTGACACTGCTTTCCCCAGGTGCGTTGAGCCACCCCTTTGAGCCAAGCGGCTACTCGCGCGACATTCAAGCTAGAATAACATGCGCAACGAGGGGCAAGGGTGGTTCGACTTAATTTGGGAAGGGCCAACAAACACAACCACTCTTCGGGTGATAGGGAGGTTGCGGGAGGGACAAACTGGAACTATAGCGCAGCATCGCTCTGCATCGCATTGCCAAGCATCGCGTGACAGAACACGGCATAACCTAGCATGGCATTGTATTGCACAGCATGGCATACAATCAGCTGGTACCTCATATCGCAGCACATCGAATCATAGCATTGCAAATGGGATCGTGATATAGCATAGCACAGCAAATCATACCAATACATTGCATGGCACGGCGACGCATAGCATGCCATGGCATGTCAAAGCAGAGCTGGTCATAGCATGGCAGATCATTTCATAACATCGCATCGCATCGCATACCCTGGCATGGAACAGCATCGCATACAATCGCGTCGCATCGCATAGCGCAGCATGGAATAGCATGGGATATCATGACATACCAGAGCACATCGTCGCATAACACCGCATAGCATCGTCGTGTGCCATAGCACAGCATAGCAAAGCATGGCACAGCATATAATCGTAAAGCACATCACAGCGCAGCATCGCATGGCATAGCATCGCAAAGCAAAAACACCACCGCACAACTTGCCCTCGCAAATTGTGCAAACAGACCCACCACAATAAGAACCCTTAATGTAATGGGCAGCCGGTGGTGGACCAGGCAGTCTGCCAGTGACACTCGTATGTAGCTGTGCCTATGGGCACCGTGTCTCAACTGAGGCTGAGGCTGATGCAGGGTGAGGCTGAGGCAGGCTGAGGCTGAGGCCGAGGCTGAAGGCAGACTGAGGCTGAGGCTGAAGCAGGCTGAGGCAGAGGCTGAGGCTGAGGCAGGCTGGTGCTGAGGCAGGCTGAGGCTGAGGCTGAGGCTGATGCAGGCTGAGGCTGAGGCAGGCTGAGGCTGAGGCCGAGGCTGAAGGCAGACTGCGGCTGAGGCTGAAGCAGGCTTAGGCTGAGGCTGAGGCAGGCTGAGGCTGAGGCTGAGGCAGGCTGATGCTGACGCAGGCTGAGGCTGAGGCTGAGGCTGAGGCAGGCTGAGGCTGAGGCAGGCTGAGGCTGAGGCGAAGCAGGCTGAGGCTGAGGCAGAGGCAGGCTGAGGCTGAGGCTGAGGCAGGCTGAGGCTGAGGCAGGCTGAGGCTGAGGCTGAGGCTGAGGCTGATGCAGGCTGAGGCTGAGGCAGCCTGAGGCTGAGGCCGAGGCTGAAGGCAGATTGAGGCTTAGGCTGAAGCAGGCTGAGGCTGAGGCTGAGGCAGGCTGAGGCTGAGGCTGAGGCAGGCTGATGCTGAGGCAGGCTGAGGCTGAGGCTGAGGCTGATGCAGGCTGAGGCTGAGGCAGGCTGAGGCTGAGGCCGAGGCTGAAGGCAGACTGAGGCTGAGGCTGAAGCAGGCTGAGGCTGAGGCTGAGGCAGGCTGAGGCTGAGGCTGAGGCAGGCTGATGCTGAGGCAGGCTGAGGCTGAGGCTGAGGCTGATGCAGGCTGAGGCTGAGGCAGGCTGAGGCTGAGGCCGAGGCTGAAGGCAGACTGAGGCTGAGGCTGAAGCAGGCTGAGGCTGAGGCTGAGGCTGAGGCTGAGGCTGAGGCTGAGGCTGAGGCAGGCTGAGGCTGAGGCAGGCTGAGGCTGGCTGAGGCTGATGCAGGCTGAGGCTGAGGCAGGCTGAGGCTGAGGCCGAGGCTGAAGGCAGACTGAGGCTGAGGCTGAAGCAGGCTGAGGCTGAGGCTGAGGCTGAGGCTGAGGCTGAGGCTGAGGCTGAGGCAGGCCTAGGCTGAGGGGGGCTGAGGCAGGGCTGGCTCATGCAGGCTGAGGTGAGGAGGCTGAGGCTGACTGCAGATGAGGCTGAGGCTGAAGGCAGATGAGCTGAGGCTGAAGCAGCTGAGGCTGAGGCTGAGGCTGAGGCTGAGGCAGGCTGAGGCTGAGGAGGCTGAGCTGAGCTGAGCAGCTGAAGGCAGACTGAAGCTGCTGAGGCAGACTGAGGCTGAGGCTGAAGCAGCTGAGGCTGAGGCTGAGGCAGGCTGAGGCTGAGGCTGAGGCAGGCTGATGCTGAGGCAGGCTGAGGCTGAGGCTGAGGCTGATGCAGGCTGAGGCTGAGGCAGGCTGAGGCTGAGGCCGAGGCTGAACGGCAGACTGAGGCTGAGGCTGAAGCAGGCTGAGGCTGAGGCAGAGGCAGGCTGAGGCTGAGGCTGAGGCTGATGCTGAGGCAGGCTGAGGCTGAGGCTGAGGCTGAGGCAGGCTGAGGCTGAGGCAGGCTGAGGCTGAGGCCGAGGCTGAAGGCAGACTGAGGCTGAGGCTGAAGCAGGCTGAGGCTGAGGCTGAGGCAGGCTGAGGCTGAGGCTGAGGCTGAGGCTGAGGCTGAGGCTGATGAGGCTGAGGAGGCTGAGGCTGATGGGCTGAGGCTGAGGCTGAGGCAGGCTGAGGCTGCTGAGGCTGAATGGTGCTGAGGCTCTGAGGCCGAGGCCGACGGCAGACTGAGGCTAGGTGAAGCACCGCTGAGGCTGAGGCTGAAGCAGCTGAGGCTGAGGCTGAGGCTGAGGCAGGCTGACTGATGCAGGCTGAGGCTGAGGCTGAGGCTGAGGCTGAGGCCTGAGGCAGGCTGAGGCTGAGGCTGAGGCTGAGGCTGAGGCTGAGGCTGAGGCAGGCTGAGGCTGAGGCAGGCTGAGGCTGAGGCTGAGGCAGGCTGAGGCTGAGGCTGTGACTGCGACTGCCGTTGCCACTGCGACTGTCATCGCCAATGCGACTACGACTGCGAGAACAGCAGAATTCTACAACTGGATTCTTATCTGAATCCGCCGACCCTGTCGGCGTGTGTGAGGGGCTTCTCCATTCGACTCCTCGTCTCCGTCGTCTCCGTTCTCCCCCTTTCCCAGGGCTCACCTCCTCAAGCGCGCTATCCAAAGCGAAATTAAACGACGTCGTAGTGGAGTCGAAGGGACGCCCCTTCCCTTTGATCCCTTCCCCGCAGGGGGGGGAGGGGGGGGGGCCGGGGCAGATACGACGCCCGCCGGGGCGCACTTTCCTCGAGCGGGCACGCACGGGATGCACTTCCTCCTCCTCATCCTAGTCCTCCTCCTCCTCCTTCTCCTCCTCCTCCTCCTGCTCCTCTCCTCCTCCTCCTCCTCCTCCTCCTCCTCCTGCTCCTCCTCCTCCTCCCGCAGAGGCGTCCCGGGAGCGGGCCCCGAGTCAAAATACCACCTCCCTAGGGCGCATTTTCCTCGAGCGGGCACTCCCGAGATGCACCTCTTCCTCTTCCGGGAGCACGTCCCAAATCAGAATATCACACTCCCGGGGCGCGCTTTCTTCGAGCGGGCACACAAAGGATGCACTTCCTCCTCCTCCTCCTCATCCTTCTCCTTCTTCCTCCCTCCTTCCCCTCCTCCTCCTCCTCCTTCTCCCTTCCTCCTCCTCATCTCCTCCTCCTCCTCCTGCTCCTCCTCCTTCTCCTCCTCCTCCTCCTCCTCCTCCGTTTCCTCCCCCCACTCCTAGCCCTTTCGATCAAGGTCGGCGGCACCGGCCGTCAGGCCTCTCCAATCTTAAGGGGAATGCTTCCCAATATGCTCCTACACATCGCTGTTCGGTTGTTTTGCCAGGATAAGTTCACATGTGTCGGAGGTTGTTGGCGCGGGATGGCAAATATGGGCGAACTCAAGCGTAAGGTTTAGCAGGCGGCGTGTTATCGTGCATCCTGGTGCGCATTCAACTGCAAGTGTTTGGGTTCGTACTGTTGCATCCAGTATGCTGTGCCACCTATGCACAATTCGCCTGTTATGCCTGCTTCAGGAAATAAGCAGTGGTATCATGCACTGTGGCGGCCAGGCGGGGTACAGGCTCTCATCGTCTAGTGGTGGGTGCAGCTTGCCATCAGCCTCAATACTGGGACCTGGCCTGGTCCCTTCCGCCTCAATGCAGGTGTCTCCCAACGCTGAAAGGGGAGTGCACTTCTTGTCTATTCAGCGTCCAGCTGAGGCCAGGCACCATCAGTTACAATGCTGACATATCCCATCTCCGCTTGGGGGGGGTATCGCAGTTTGTATATCGTGGTGTTGCGCGCTTGGTTATATCTGTTTGTGGTCCCTCGTGACACTGGGCGTTGCAAGAGGCGGGCAATCATTCCCTGTGTTTGGTCAAATGGTTTCCCAAGTTTTCAGTACCGTGCATAGTGCCTCATCGCGCGCGTAAGTGTATCAGATGTGTGCTCGTTGGTGGTATGGGAAGTGGTTTTCATGATGTGGATGTGGCGCCGCGCGTTCACAATTGCCTACGCTTTCTGCTGCGCTTCTCTCGCAGAATTCATGTTACGATCTGGCGACCACGTTATCGTGCGGAAAGGCTCCTACTGCCATGGGATTACTAGCACATTCAAAAAGGCGAAGGCCGTTCGTAGGTTTCAAGATGTCAGTATGTTTGCAATGGCGGCGTGGATTGCAATCGAGTGGGCGCTACGGCTGTCACAACGGTCGCATGCAGTATCCGAGAAGGCTCTTCCTCCAGCGAGGGCGCCTCGTGTCCCTTGTTCTCCCCCTGGTGCTCAAGGTCAGCAGGCTGTGCTCGAGCGCGCAGCATCGCTACGCGATGGCTGTCATCCCTAGAACTCGGCGGTGGACAAACCTCCCAATTAAGACCATCCCTTTAATGAAAACGGCCTAAGAACGAAACCGACGGACCTGGTTC